CACTTTAAAGATTCATGATTATCATTAAAAATGGTTTTAAATTTTTTTTTTTATATTCAAAACAGCATAGGAAAAAACGAAGTTTTTAACACGAAAGAAAAAAATTGATTTTCTTTCTTCGAGTATTTCAAAATAATGTTTTTAAATTACAGTCGTGGTGACTTGTTTTGATTTAACGTTTATATTTTTACAAAGTGCCTCCCATCCAACATTATCTTAAGCTCTTTTACGCTTATCGATCAGTAAATTTTTGTGAGACACTCACATTATATATATTATTACCACTGACACGAGTAACTAGCCATGTCTAAAAATAGAGGATACAACTTGATTTAGAATAAATTATATTTAAAGTTTCGAGAGATTTACATTTATGCGTTCTGACCTTAATGTAAACCGTGGTAGAAGTTATCGGTGTATCGCATTATTTGCCGAAACAAAAAAAAAAAAAAAAAAACGGTCGATTTCGTACCTAAACCGTACCCACACGATTTGAACGTAATGCATCACATTATAAACTAATTATAGACTATCACTTATACATATTTGCATGTCTCATACACAGAAGCTTTAACGAATACATTTCAGGATTCGATCATTTGAAGTTCGACTACTTTCAGTGTATAAATATGTTGGACAACATTCGATGTTAAAATAGTCACAAGTTTTTGTTCACAGTACGGGTATTGTATTATTTACTCTTCGGGATATAGAAGAACGAGCAATCAATGCTGTCCCTTAATCCAATATTGTATGTATGACCAGTGACGTACATTCGATTTTGCTCTGGGGAGGGTTTAACAAAAATAATCATTATCTTTTTTTTTTTCGTTGTACAGATAAATAAGATAAATAACTGCTATAAACAGTTATTATTTTATACAACTATTTTACCAATTTACAATTTACTTTTACATTACAGTAAATTAATAGCTATTGGAAAATAAAAACAGCATAGTTAACAAAACTTTTCAAACACCTATCAATATAATTATTTAATTATCATAATATTTGTATAGTTGTATATTTTAAGTTCAAAGCGTAATAATGAAACTACGAATATATTACACGTCATCAATAATAAAACAATTTTTTTTTTTTTTCGGCCCTGGGGGGGGTTTGAACCCGGAAACCCTCCCCGTATGTGCCACTGTGTATGACATATATAATATGGACATTTACTTATTAACAATTATAAGACTGCGATATCGTTTTCATCGGGAAGGAGACTAAATATGTTCACGATCATACATCACGATGTCCTCTCATTATTATAAATTACGAAATAAGTAAGAGAAAATACGTAAACGAATTGTGTCATGGGAGAAAAAAGTGGTTATGACATTTTATTTACGTGTTGACCTCCCCTTCTTTTATTTAAGCATATTAATCATAATAGAGTGCGTGTGTGTATGCGCCAATACAAATATACTTTATTTAAAAGATAAAATAAAACCACAGTGTACATACACGGTATATACATCCTTTGATTATGTATTCAACATGAAATTGGCGGAATTTTAATACATATATACACCATTGACGTGTCTCGCGCTATACAGTCGAATTGGATATAAGTTAACTATAGCTAAAAAAAAGGGGTTGGCGGTCGATTGTAATTTAATGCCAGGGGTAAAACTACATGAATATGCAAAGTAAAATTAAAAAAATAAAATAAAAAACCAACCAACCCAGGCAGTTTTGATTAAGGTTTTTACGTTACTCTCTTATCGATAAATTATTCATTGTAGTTTATTTAAAAACTTGATATAACGATGGAAATCAAATGAAAAAAAAAAGAGCAAATCGTCATGTATGCGTATGATACAAGCTGTATTTTTATAATTAATTTTAAAAGTATACGAATTTAATCAGTTAAATAGCTAAAGATAATTAAACAATAATATTAGGCTAGGAGTGTAACGGAGTGTAATACACTGTTAATGTATTTTGACTTTTTGTTACAGATGTTGACAAATATTTTTTCAAAAAACAGTAAAAAAATATGACTTTGTTGTATATAAAAATAAAATATCCTTAGGTCGTTTTTCTAGGTATATTTATTTAGTCGCTATAAATCAAACGGGATACATTTGTGATATTTTGAAATCACCAAGTTTTTAGAACAACCGGAGACATTTTTCATATCTTTTTATCAGAGTGTTTTTATTTTTTATTTTCGTACTAATGACAATTTATCGTAGTACGTTTTTCGAGATCGGGTTTCAAGATTGATCTTACAACAATAATAAATATAATAATAATAATGAAACGATCGCGTGGTTGATTGGTGTTTAAAAAGGTAAAGAGCGATAAGAGATTAAAATCGGTTGGGTCACGATAGAACTGAAGTGGGACGCGGTGGACAGAACGAGAACTTAAAGGGTTGTCGAGGAAAACGTAGGACTACGTGGTTCGTCTGATAGTTGGCAGATTGGTTGTTGATATCCGGCGCTCAAGTCGCTTATTGTTCAAGTTTGAAACGGGTCCCGTGGCCAAACGTAACCCCTACGGGGTAAGTTTATGTACTGTCGTTAAGTCGACAAGAACTAAAACTCTTACGTATGTATAAACAGCCGGTGATAACAGTCGGTCGTAAAGTGACATAATACATCGTTTTATTACGACTCTTATATGATGCACACACGTGCAATCGTATAACATACATATGTATATATATATTGGATGAGATAATTACACTTTTATTGATCAACGGACATTATGGATTTTCGAGGGTGCGCGCGTCCGAATTGATATATATTACACGGGCGCATCGTTCGTGGTGGTCGACGTTCGTCTCGCTTCAAGGGCATAAAAATTGTTTTAAATTGTTGTGTCCACGGAAAAAATATGCCGGATTATCACTTCATATTTTATAATATTATATATATATATTACGACCAGGAAGAAGGAAACTGTCTTAAAAAAAAAATACATAATATCGTGCTTGTGCTAATAATAATAATATGCGCAATAATAATATGTCTCTAAACTATCTTCCCCTTTGGCACTTGTTCCTTCTTTTTCTCTCTCTTGTCACCCTATTTTCGTTCTTTCGTATTCTACAAACGAATAGCCAGATAGAAATGGACACGCGTCCCATGCCATGTTTTTGACACGTCCGTTTAGAAAATACAGCATTCATTGTAAATCCGTTCTCCGCCGAGTTCGTAATTTATTTTTAACGAGCTTTTTCTCCCCACCCGTTATTCTTTTTCATATATAAGCCACGTCTGTCCGAAAGGTTTTTTTTTTTATTCTTTGTACATACAATGGTTATCCATCGGTAGGTTTTGAAAACGGTATCGGGAGGGAGGAGGATCATTTATTTAAAAATAGGGATCCGTTCGCACACGTTCGTCAATGCGAAAACCATTATACACCTATATACCACCACAAGTCTTAGTTGTCTAAAAATTACAAAGCAAACGAAAACATACCGGTATAAGAATAATTCTAACACACGAATTTATTGAAAATTTCTCACAATTTCAATTTAATATCGTACTCCCAATATATTATAATTTTTATGTTGATAAGCTGTTTTAAACGTTATATTATATTTAATTTGTAGTCACATATGTCAATAAATTGTATAATGTTTTCACATGAATACAATACACGTTGGTGATAATATTGTACACAAAATATTGATCGTAACATTTTTGCGTTCTGAGAAAAAACATGTGCTTGCAGTAGAAAAAATAAAATACAATTCCTTCATAATCTAAAAAGCACTACTATTTTCTCGTCTGATATTTCGCTTAGGTTTAACGATTTTCAACTTGGAAATATCCTTATTGTAGTATTACGATTTATTTTTCTTATCCAAGGTCCAATCTCGGTCTGAGTTTTAAAACTGTTAGTATGGAAGTTTTTCGTGTTTACACAAATGTTTTTTTCCCTAGACGATTATGATAATAAGTACGTTCAATTTGTCCTTTTCGAGTACACGTAGAAAATAACGTGGTTAAATAATGAAAAACATAAGATGTTTATTATAACATATGAAAGTTGAAGTAATTACAGCAGTCAGTCAAAAATTTTTTAATTTTTTTCAGTATATGTTAGTTTCTTTTACCATTAATATTTAATTATTTACAATAATGTTTTAAAAATTGTACATTTTTTGTTTTTGTAAAATAATGTCAGGATATTTATGTGCGTTATAATTAATAACATTAATCGATATTATTTCCTTTTGCATAAATTTTAAATCTTTCAGTGAAAGATTATGCAAATAATATTAATGCAATGGTTGTTAATCCGAGTTTGATTCATTCGGACTCTGAATACAATATATTAAATACATTTGAATTCATAAGTAAATACTGTATGAAGCTAACATGAATATAATGGAAAATAACTATACGATTAAGTGTATATTAATGTAAGAACTTAACCACAAATCAGTGTAAACATTTCAGTAAACGGTAAAAATAATAGTCACGTAACATATATAAATATAATATTTCAAAGGCTTATAATATTGTATTTGTTGAACATAATTTTTATAGATATTATGATACGTACATACACACACCGTTATTGAAATATCGCAAACGAAATTTTTTATCATTTTGCGAATAGAAATCACTATGCGAAAAATATCACAGTAAAATAAATGAATAATTTAAAAAATGTTAATTAAAATAAATAAAGAAATAAAGACTATTTTTATTTACATATACTTTCGATATATACTTTTAGGTTTGAGGTTAGAAACTCTAATAGTGTTTTGCAATAAAATTACTGCAGCATTCCTTTCGGTACTAATAATTGAGTTTCATAAATAAATATAAAATATATTACATCTTATAGAGCGTTATCTTTAATTATTATTCTTCATTATTTCAATTTAAACGAAAACAATTGTTTCATGAAATCAATTTGAGAATATCTTTTACTAATATACTAATAAATATTTTGTTTGCACACAATACATAAAATACACTTACACTAATTTTATATTACTACTTTAAAATGTCAATACAACATACCTTCCAAACCAAAAAATGCCTCTTCGTCGATATGAGATATTTGATTTCCATCCAACTCCAATGAGTTCAGTAAAGGCAAATGTTGAAATACCTTTGCTGGTATGTGTTTGATATAATTATGTGCTAGTATCAGCATATCCAATGTTTTTAAACCTTGAATAACCATTTTAAATAAAGGATTAGACAACGATCTTAGAAGTATTGAGTATATAGTATAGCGATATAATAATACTGTATTTGTTGACGTATTATATCTTAACACCGTGACCAAGGTAAATTTCAATAATATGGAGATATGTAATGATAAATTGGAGACGTATATAATATTATGTCCAAATAATGAACGCATCGGTCAACAATATTATGAACCTAATAGTTTTTATGTATATTAAAAGACTCTACATTGGTCGTTATAAGATAAATATAGTCATTAATGATATTTTAACTAATAATAATTGCCTATGAAATCGCCTTCACTGATCGTTGTGATTTTGTTTTCTTGAATCTCTAACTTCTTCAAGTTGTCCATTGTTTGCAGTGCTCCGGTGGGTACCCGGTTCAACTCGTTGCCTCCGATATTCAAACGTTTGAGTTTCCTGCGGATAAAATATAATACGCATGTATAGAATATGTACAATCACGTGTATGAGTCGTGTACAAATTACACATGCAAGCATGTACGGACACGAGGAACAGGTTATAGTTATTATCAAAGATGGGCATTAACTATTCAAAAAATTAATTTTTTTTTAAACTTTTTAACTTAACTAGTTAGTTTATTCTCTGATAAATGTTTTAACCTAACTAGTTTAATTGGCAGTTGAAATAACTTAGCTTTTCACAGTTAATTTAAAAATGATCTATCAAGTTAAAATCTTTTGACATTTTCGTTTTTACGAAAATATTAATATAAAAATGAATTAATCGTGTAAAGTAAAATGGTCGCATACACCGTACATCAGATGTCATATTAGATTTTTTAGGTTGGCGGCCCACTTTTGAGTATTGGGTTCTGGCCTTGGATACAGAATGTTATGTATAAAGAATTTGAACTATAAAGATAAATAATTACGGTAACGATTGGCCCCTTGATGTACAGTATTTTTTAAACACTTCGGCGCCACTGCTGTATATTATGGTAAAGAATTCAATAAAATTGTTAATTATAATTTAGGAAATTAGATGTTTCTACAAAATGCAGTCACTTTTTATGTGATCTATACACTAATAAAAATAGTACATTAACTTTTTTTTAAACCAAGTTAAATTAATATTTTTTTCCTTATAAACTTATCGAGTTAAATTTACAAATTGTTAACTGTTAACTTTTAACTTATCGACCTTGTGTTATCTTAACTTAACTTAACTCTAGTTAATTATTTTCATTAGCTTGCCCACTTTTGGTTATTATATGTATTATAGTCGTGCACGAATGGTTGTTATTAATATTATTACTTTTCTGTGCCGGCGAACGCGTTGGGCTCAATGTTCGTCAGTCGGTTTTCATACAACGTTAATATCTCTAGCGTGCTCATTCCCTCGAAGGCGTTCGCGTGGATAGCGGTGATTTTGTTATGGTTCAAATTGAATATCAGTAATCGATCTAAGCTCTTCAGTGCCGGCGTCGGTACGCTGCTTAACGAATTCTGAGACAGGTCGAGTTGAGTGAGCGCTTTTCCTGCGAAAACATTAATAATGGAAAAATCGACGAGTTCGGTCATGTTTGTTTTATAATTATATAATGTTATAACGTTTGATGATCAAACGATCTCGACGTAACACCGTGATGCGGTGTAAGCGGTCTTGTACAACGAATAGGTTAACGTGGAAGGGTGTTGTTGATACGTCAAGGTTTGACGTTGCACACAATTATAATATAAAATGTAAACAACAATTATACCACTTACGACGTGCGCCCTGTACATGCATCTATATGTACGTACGAGCTAATATGAAGTTAAGATTTTCAACAAATATTATTAAATAGTTAAAATTATGTACAACATCAGTTTTCGGTTACGTAAATTCGTTTTATATGACGAAGAAAACCTTTACACTCGTGGCTAGAAATTTAAATATTTATTGCTTTTATATTTTTTTTATAATGTCAGGAGTTTATAATAATATTTAATATATATATATATATATATATACTAAATGTATACTTAAAAAGTAATTGTATTGTTTCGAAATGTTATGTTCAACAATAGCGGCAGCGTGAAGGATAAACCAATGAGGATTCTTGTTTTTAAATTTATAAACCTATATTAGAGCGACTGAATCTACCGAATAAAAACTTGATTCTGCTGGGAATTCTCAGGTGAAATTTAAATTTTAGTATAGTAATTTTCAAAATTTACATTTATACATTTTGAAAATTACTTTTCTATACATAAATAAATGTACAGATATGATATGAGTTTAAAACGAAATTCCTAAAAGTTATTCTTATTAGCATGATTTAACTAAAAGTCGGGCGGTAAAATTATGCAATTAAAAGAAAACAAGAGAAATATCTTAAAAAAAAAATATATCCGCAATGGCTCAGTATGTATAATAAATAAATATTAATCAGTAAAGCTCGTGGATATTAAGCAAAATAATATTTATAAAAAATCGGTAAGGTAAAAATGGAAATGTATTCTTTCTTAACAGATTTTATATATACATTTCTTTATACATCTTGCTAATACGTTAACTGTGTATCTGTTATTACATAGATTATATTTTACACATAGAAAATGTTCATGAGAACCGGGTGCCAAATCGTAATCATTAAAAGTTTTCGATAGTGAAAATATTGTGTCACTGATGGTAAACTCATCACACTCATATTTTTTGCGGTAGCTCGTACCTGATAGGTTGCTTATAATAATACATCGAAAGTTTATTTATAATAATTATTATTATTGTTTGTTAACGTAACACCAGTCCCGCAAAACGCCAAACTGTCCGCAAACGGGTTTTGTCGCGTAATACATCTATACACAATAACTTCTGCATTGAATAGCACTACGTACGTATAATTTTCATGAACATTGAGTGCTGATAAATAATCTATGAATCAGATCACGCCAACTATTGTTATTCGCTTCGCGATTTCAATCATTTTGATTACGTTGTATTAATATTCGCGATTCAAATGAGTGGCTTACGTCTGACCAATTATTTTATAGTGATATGTAGTCTGCTAACATTCGACTCGAGCGCATATATATTTCTACTGATTTTATCTGCACGTATAAGCACAGAGTGTTAACAGTTTGAGTGGTGAATATCATATGTGTATGAAATATCGGTTACCTAGAAAAGAAAAAATAGCGAATGGCCACAGCAGCCACGGATTGTTATACTTAGTAAAAAAAAAAAAAAAAATAGCTAACCCCCTAACCTGACTCATAATTACCTCTACATCATGTGTTCATGTGAGTCATGAGTTCTAACAGAGTTAAAAGTAAGTATGAATACCTGGAGTGAGTAGTAAAATCGAAACGTTACTGTATAGAATGTTTTTTTTACGGAGCAATAGCGTTATTGATATTATTAGTTGAACTCGAGTAATATCGAACGTTTCGATAGAAATTCTTAAAAAAACTGTACAGATTTATTCAAATCATCGAACTGCTGCCAATCGTCACCGTCACACACTTCCTAGATCAATGCTTCTCAGTCTTTCTAATTTTTGCCTTCTTTGTAAATTTTTAAAACTTTCATCCCCCCCTCCTTAAATTGGAATTAAGATTTTGATTTTAGAAGGCCATTTTTTTTTTTTTTCGTATTAATGGTACCATAAGTATAAAGTAAAACTAGGATGGTTTTAATTATATCCGCACAACATATGTTCATGTTAACCCATAGGAACGTTCATAACGAGTTATTTGCCTTCAAGGACTACTTTTTGTCAGGTTAAAATGTAGAATTTCATGAAGTTAGTTGGTAGGTTAATTTAGGTTCACTATTGGTGTCAATCATGGCGGACTATGGCGCTGTAATCAGTTGCAACAGATACAATATGCTTAAGCAAATTGTCTTTTTAGACTTATATTTTGAAGAATTACTAGATTTTAAATATTTTTATTTTGTCCTCAACTACGAATGAATGTTATTATACATAATCAGCTAACAATAAGAAAATTTTTAAATAACTCGATATGGGACCGATCGTTTTGAAGAACCATGTATAGTATATAGTACCATCACGACCATCGTTTCCTTTGACCCCATCAACCTATTAATTTTCGTCATGACATTATAATATTATTACATCGATACAGAATAATATTATATCATGTATAATTTCTCATTCCGTGTGTTCGGCCTCCCGCTACGATTATCGAACGCAAAATAAATGTTTTTGTGTACCATTATCGTACTAATACATCGTCGGGGGCAACCCACACAGTATTATTACTTACTTTATCGAATCGATCGCGAAACGTCAAATATTAAGAACGCGTGTTACCAGTGGTTACCGACTATATCCACTGCATGCGCGTAGCATTCAATGAGAAGATGGAAACATTTCGTAAAGATGCGCGGTCGTGACGTGCCGACGAAGGAAAAAATTCAAAGTTAGAATAGCATATATTCTTGGCGCACGGTATACGTAATGCGTTTTCGAAGCGTGATTTATATACTAAATATATACGAAAAATGTATCACAAATCGCCGCGATTACGGGGATATTCTGAAATAAATTATGTTCACGCTCGATTCGAAAACGCAAACGGAAAAGGCAATCGTCGTAGCGACCGATTTTCGTCCATGTCGATTTTTCATTTAGAATTTAAATGAAACAAAAATATGCGTCTTTGCAGAAACGTCTAATATTTTATCATGATACTACAATATTATACTATTGCTTGTAATAATTATAATAATAATAGTAATATGTTATAAATCATTTCGATTTCAAACAGGACGGACGAAACGGGATGAAATATTGTTCTATACATAATTCGTCTATTTCTTATACGCAACCCGGTGGTGATGAGCAGGGACTTTTAACGAGCACTCAGAGAATGGAATGTCATATTGAATTGAAACGAGCCCCCTGCGTCCTTATCGTCCATAATATTTTCTTAATATTTTCTAATGCGTATTACATTATTTTACATTTTCTTTATTTTTTGTTTCTCTATCTCCGACATCACGGTCATAACAGTATACGTGCGGAGTTCAACGTTGATATTTTCGATCGAATATTATTTCGTACCGATTTCGAACCGTTAGAGTCTATACACCACATAGATATATCAAGAAAAGAAAAACAACGAAATAAAATTACATCCACCTTCTCGAAGTCGATCTTAATTGCAATGTATTTGCAAAATATATTATAATCAAATATTATAATATTATATAATATATATAAAATCCACCTACTCATCAGTTATCAATAGTTATTGATTTTTATTATAATAAAAACAAGCAAAATATTACGAAATCTTAACGAATTCTGTGAAGTGTTTAAGAAATGTCGTTATAAATCATTATTATAATTTATTCATTGCATTTAAATTATGCTTTATAAGTGTTCGGATCTTAGTTTTGCTTATTTTTTTTTTTTTTAAATTTTATTGTTAGAATTCTCAAGTTTATTTGAACCTAAATTAATTAATTAATCTAAATAAATTAACCTAAAACCAAGTTTATTTATGAAAATTCTTATTTTGCTTAAACATTTTTGAATGAAGATATTTGATTTAAACTGTGAGTAAGTATCGCTGTACAAATTTAGAAGCTTCGTTCAGCTGTTTAACTTTAACTGAAATTGTTATCTTTTTGTATATAAATAACGAAACGCAACGTTATAAAAATAAATAATTTTCTTTGACTTTTATTTTAAAGTTTTTTTTCTTTTTTATCTATTTCTATGCAAAACTTTCAAAATGTAACAAAAATACTAAAAAATCGAAAAAGTTTGAAGAATAAAAGTTTCCATGTTAATTTGTTAGGCGTGTATATCAAACTTTTCTATTACAGGAAAACGTTTTCCAGCTGGTTATCAAGTAAAAACTAATAACAACCTAACGTATTTGAATCTGGTTTGCAGATGTATACAGGTACTTGTATTGTATACAGTATAAATTATTTTAATTTAGTTTAATTACATTTGAATTTATTAACGCCATATAGCAATTTACAAGTTTATACAAATTTTATAGAATGATATATATATATTGTATATAATTAATTATATATACATTCATTCAGGAACGGAGTGGGAACCAAATTCAGGTGGGAGTTTGAAATGCATCCAGGCCACCCACCATTTACTAATTAAATCACTAAAAACTTTCTCACTACACTCAATAATTAAAATATTTCATTTTATTTTTAATAATATTATTAATTTCGTTATTATTAAAAAATTGCAATCATTATTTTGCTATACCGTTTAACATTTAATGTATATTTACATATCACTAATACCTGATAAATAAAATTTGTGTAATTGTATAATTTAAATCAAAGGAAAATAAATACAAGGAATAATATCATATCAAAAATTGCAGAGTATGGTTGGGGGCTGACTCTAACTCTCTTAGGATTGCCATATTAGGATTGGCGTTTTCCGCAGCGGAATACTGCGTGCCAGTTTGGATTAACAATAAACATGTATCAAAAATTAATATCCAACTTAAGAGAGCAATGAGAACTATATCAGTAACGTAGAAAACAACTCCCCTCCCATAGCTTCCTGTGATGACTAATATAACGCCTCCATTACTTAGATGAGAAGAGGCATTAAGAAGAGAGTGGCAAAAATACTTAAAGCTTTCTGGTCTGCCGATTTATGAGGATATCATATATTTACCAAGTATGAGACTGAAATCTCGTAACCCCAGCTGGAAAATTATGGATGATCCTAGTTATGGTGTAGTGGAACCATGGAAGAAAGCGTGGGCTACTAGTAAAACTTTGAACTATGTCCTCGTATCTCAGCTAGAACAGAGATATCGGGTTTCCAACTGCCAAGGAAATAATGGATTACTCTAAACCGCTTTAGGTGCGGCCAAGAAAGATGCGGTCACTTCATGTCGAAATAGAATTTAGCTGAGAATGCTCGGTGTGAGTGTGGATACCCGAACCAGACAATAAAGCACATAACTGATGAATGTTTTATTTATTCATTTAATAAAGGGCTTAACGATCTTCACAAATTGGAAGAAGGGACTGTTGATTGGTTAAGAAGCCTACCAATTGGAATTTAATGGTGCCAAATTAATACTAAAATAACCAACACACACACTAATTTTTAGAATAATAATTATATCGTGCTGATGGTTTAACTGTTTCCACATTTTTGAGCTTCTATTTAATTGTTGCAAGTGTTTATAGATGTATTTGAAAACCGGATTATTTTAACGCCATACGAATATTTATATAATATTATTTACCGATGGAGCTGAGCGACGACTCTTCCACAACGGCCAGCGTGCTGTTGTGTATGGTCAGGTGCCGGATGTCCATTCCCAGGAACACGAACCCTTGGAGCTTGGGTAGGTTGTTGTGCCGCAGCTTCAAGTAAAATATGACCAGCGACGGTTTGCCCTTGAGCACCGCCATAGTTTTGGATATGTGCTGCAAGTCGGTGAACTCACACAGTATGTCCAATCCACCGTTCTTCTTCACCGTGCACACGCATGGCGCGATCTCGCCGTGTGTGGGACATTGCTGGATGACCGGGCCGCTGGCCGACCACGCCGAGTCCACGGTGATGGCCGACAGCAGGCTGCACACCAATACGAACGCGGGCACCATCGCTAGCCGGTGGTCGCCATACCTGAAACGGAAACCACAAGACAGGGATTTATTACTGGATCGGTAACGGTGGGGGTGGGGGCACAGATGCGCGGTCAATCGATCGCGCGACAGATCATCGCGTCGACGTTTTTATCATCGCATGCTCGTCACTAGCCGCTATTTTGTGGCGGTCATTTCGTCGTAATCACCACTACGTCGCTGGTTTAATTTTCACTTAAGACGTTCGAAAAATCTAAATAGTACCCCTTACACTGGGCGAGAGGAGCTAAATCTTAAATCTAATATCTACATCATACCTATCGAAAGAATGCGCGAAAAAAAAATAGCAAAAACCGATGAATAATCAATAGCATCTTGTTATTTTTTATAATTGAAGAGATTAGTTTTATAAGTAAGAACAATTTAAGGAGGAGATATATGAAAAATGTTGACCTAAGATAACTTATCTGGCGTATAGATAGGGAGATGTCAAAAATGATAAAAAATGCGGTGTCAGAATACTTGAATGCTCCAAAAAATCATTTTTTAAAAACTACGGATATGTTAATGATAACATTTGATTACTATTCAGAATAAAGGAAAAACAATTACCAATCAAATAATGTGCTTTGTCGTGTTTATGGTTCGTCTGTATGGAAACTGTACGAATGGAGTGAAAACTGTGTAATTATACTTGTTTCGTCTTCCTTATAGATATATACCTTACAGACACCTTTATTGTGTTGATAAGCAGTAAGCACTCGATGTTCCGCAATAGTTATGTATGCGTACGTCTATAACGTTCAATATTATTTTTATAAAATAATAATCATTTTAAATGCTATAATTTCCATCAAATATGTTCCTGGATGTTCAATAATGTAATTAACGTTTCCAGGAACTCTCCAATAAGAGTTTTGTTGAATACTTGGAGTTGAGTAAATTTCATAAACTTTAAGCATTGATTACTAATTAGTAATGCTTGCACAATTCCGAAACCTTTGATCGTGCCCGGTCGATAACGGTACGTACGATATAACAGTATAATAATCGAATATGCATAATAAAGAAAACAAGCGTGTAACGGCAATGAAAATAAATTGAATTGCTTTTCGATTTGATATAACAAACGAGAATCATCCAAAAAACTTTTTTCTCGAGGTAAAACACGTTTCAGAAGTCTGAACCGATACCATAATATATACGTATAATAGCTTACAACTATCATAACTTAAAAATTCGTGTAAAAATTATCAGGAGAATTATTTACTATGTGTAGCATAGCGGTTATGGATCATCGAAATGTTATTCTAAACGTTCTCAGGTGAAAATATAAACATTATTGTGATTGAATTCGATTTGACAGGAACTCACATAGTCGACTGTCCATATGCACTATAAGAATGCATTGTTTGCGTATTTATTATTACTGGTCTAATTTGAATTTTGTCTAAGGATGTTGTATTAGCGTGGAATAATTTTCAGTATGAATGTCACCAATTTAATAACACGTTAATATGTATAAATTAACATTATTTATCAATGATATAGTAATATCTGTGTTCCACCGAAAAAATTATCAGCGATTTTATAACATTGTGCTATTCTATTTTTATTATTTTTTTTTCCCATTTCGATAATATTTCTATGTGTATTTGTCAAATTAAAGAAGGTGTATTGATTTGTAATGGTATAAAGCAAATACTGTAAAAGTTTGATCGAAACTTTCCATAATTTATTGTTCTATATACATAAAGATAACATATATAACCATTTGTTTAAGGCTGGTTAAGGTATTCAGGCTGTTATGGGTTTAGCTATTAATTCTTCCAGTCAGAAAGTTTTACATTTAGACGATTACGAGTTTAATCGTGTATATTCTTACCCCAATATGTATAAACAATGAGTGTAGAAACTAAAAAGTTTAGAAATCTTAAACGTTCAGTGTTAATTACACATGATAAGTATAACAAGCAATTAGCTAAAGATTAATTCAATGCTATACGAGTTTAAAATTTGTACAACGTTGAATGTTGTTGAATCAGATCTTCACTACAAATTTGAGATTTACAAACTTTTTAGACACACTGTACATTGAAAACACGAGTGTATGGTATTAAGTTTTATAAGTGTATAATATTGTAAAGGGTAAATAATAAAGGGGCCTATTGTTTTGAAATAAGTTAAATAACATCAAATTTTATTTAGATCATATACATTACATACATATTTTGATTGACAAGAATATGAACATTTTAATAGTGAGGAATTTATTACAAGGCACTATTAAATTCATATATTAAGTATTATGTTTAAATACAGGTCTCAGAGGATCTGATAAATTATGTTTATGGAGCTTTCTTTGTTTATGTGTTTTAAAATATCAAAATATCTTATATTCAATATATAATCGAAGCTTTTAAGAGTTGACGGAAGTATCTTTTATTGATTAATTTATTGATATGTATTGTATGGTCTGATTTTATTCGTTAGGTTTTGTTTTGTTATTTCAATTTTAGCTGAGAATTGATTATATTTTTGAGAACACTGAATGTGCATATGATAAATATCATAAGCTTTAATATTTTTAGTTATAGCTATAAGCTTTTAAACTCCATATTAAATTTTATTTTCATCATTTTAAATTATACCTTTGGGCTTCATGACCCTTATCCGGGTTTTGTGTAGTTATTCCTTTGGGTTTAGTACAGGATTTTATTATAGAATCTACTTGAAATTTGAACTTCACGCATTAGATACCGTTTATCTGTTTGTTCTATGTTAAAATACAAATAATAATAGTCAATGTTATTTTGCATTTATTTCTTAGACTTAATAAGCGAGTTGTAAATATTTTTAACTAAAATATTTAACATTAAATAACTTTTAAGAATTAAAAAAAAAACAACTATTAAAAAAATTAAAAATTTTTAAATTAATACTTGTATGAATGTTGGTAGTAGAAATAAATTGCTCAGTAAGTAATTTAATAAGATTTTTTTTCTAATTTTATGTTATATATCTAAGTACCTAGTATATTATACTATCATTTATAAACGTATTTATTGTACTCTATTATTTTATCATATGCATTTGTAGAATTATGAACTATATTTAAACCATTGTTCTTGATTAATTTTTCGAGGGTGTATATGAAAACTTCTAAAATATTCATGAATATTTTGCAGCAAAATAACAAATCTCTATAGTCTTATAACTTTGCATTACGATATCATTAAGACTACATTGAACTTGTCAGTTTATTTTAAATCAGTATGTTGCATTTAATAAGAATTGATATTGGATTTAAAATAAAATATTCGTTATTTTTATTATTAAGTGAACAGATAATTCTTACTTTGGATAGTTAATATTTTGTAGATTCCAGTAATGTTGTAATAATAATGTAATAAATTAGGAATCCCTAAATAAAACTTTTATTTCAATTTATGCGTGCGTTACTAGTTTGAATTGTAATTTGCATACTTTGCACGTTTGGCTTACCTCAAACGTTTTGTACGTGCGCTATAAAGCGATGTGTGGCAAACTATCGATTTTATAATTTTATATATGGCGATAAGCCCGAAAATTGTAAAAATTTGTATACATGTATCACGACTTTAATCCAACATATGCACTCACGCCCTCACCCTTATAGTGTATACATGTATACATTTTTATAATAAGAGTACGTGTGTTTGTGGTTTTCGTAGAACTGAAAACATAGTATCTAAATACGGTTTCTATGATAATCTGAGATTTTTACTGTTAAAACTTGAAATTATGTATCATATACAATGGTTTATTTGGTGTAAGTCAAAATTAAATACGAATAAATATGTTAATTTAAAAGTTAATTTTCAATATGATTAAGACGAGAGTCTGCAAAATTACATATTTATTATAATATTATATAAAAACTTTTTTTTAAATATTTTAACTAAAATAATGCTAAAACTAAGGAAAAAATGTAATTATCATGTAATAAACTAATATAATACCACTATGTGCATGGTCTTTATGTTTAAATAAATTTTATGTTTTTACATAAACATAATTAATTAACAATAAGGTTTTAACCTTATTGTTAATTAATTATATACAATCACTATAATTAAACGTCATTGTAGGCACGTATTTTATCAACTACAATCTATATTATTGTGTAAATAGTATTTTCACTGACATTTGAGTTTTTAATAATTTTATAACATTAATCTCATCTCTATTAAAAGGATTTTGCTGTAATTCAAATAAATCTATTAATATTTTAATCTAATAATTTAAATAAGTTACCCTTTGTTCTAAATATTATGTATATATACGTTGGGTACTTAGTAAAAATATATTATATAATAAAATGATCTAAAAGACAAAATATAATGTACAACGTTTTTATTTTAAAGAAAATCCTTTCTATTCTAAGCTAAATAATTGTTTCAGGTATAGGTTCTCATGTTTCTTATAGGTACAAAATTTGTTTCCAAAACCATTAGCACAATAGGTACGTACGTCATGAATGATCAATTGTATATGTCGTAGAAATGTGATTCTACGTTTGGAGTTAAAAGAAAAAGGAAAAAAGGAAAGAAAGATAAAAGAAAAATATGAAGTAAATAATATTAAAACATTTTAGATTAATTAAGTGTAATCAATTATGACAGCGAGGTAAAAGAGAACTTTCTTACTGTATCTAAAAATATTACATACATATCTAATGTATCTTCTTGTATATTGAAACTTTGTTAAAATAAAATGGTTATCTTTAGCGTGACGGTAAAGTAAAACAAGAAAAGAACCCTATTTTATTTCATATTTTATGCTGAGCTATATTGAGAAACCCTTTTGTATTACACGCAGGTAGTAAATTTTCAATGGATGGCCGTTAAGGTAGCCCAGAGGGGAACTATCTTTATTTTGAAGCGCCGTCGGAATAAGTAATATTATAGCGTTTTATGAATTTATTACTTGAGAATATTTAATTAAAATAAAAAAATTAAATTAAATTGGATATTTATTAAAGCCATAGTTTAATTATCT